TTCTATCACCAAAATTCTTTTATTTTTTAAGTTTATCCACTCCTTAACCCATAGTAAAATTGCTGCTTGATAATATGTTTCGCATTTTGGGAGTCCAAGGCCGCCTCTGGTTCTACTAACTTGTAACATTTTCAATTTTATTCGTGCTTTTTTCCTCATCCATATAAATTTCATTACCGTCCTATCTAATTCCTGAAAAAAATTCTTATCCAATTTTATAGGTATTGTTTGAAAATAGTATAATAGTTTCGATAGTATGTTCATTTTTATGGCCGCTATTCGGCCTAATAGTGATAGTTGTAATTTTCCCCAGATCTTTCTTTATCTGTGAAAGTAATTTCATATAATTATCCTCTTTTATGGAAGAGCATCTTCCTGTTAACCAAATTCCTAGATACTTAAGTTTTTTGACATTTTGTAATTCCAATTTCCTTTCCAATTGTTTTTTTTTTTTACTTTCTATCAAGGTTTTGGCTATTACTTTTGTTTTATCTTTATTAATTTTTAGTCCTGCTACTGCCCCATATTCTTCTAATTCTTGAATTAGATTGGATCTTCCACAAAAAAACACTAAGTCGTCCACAAACGCCTGTACTTTATATTCTTCTTTTTTGCTTTTCAGTCCAATTATCTCCTTTCTTTGTCTAATCTGATTTAAAAGCACTTCGATGGTCAAGATAAAAAGCAGAGGTGACATTGGACATCCCTGCCTAACACCTTTCATAATCTTAAAGTTTTCAGTAATCTCCCCATTTATAATTACCCTATCTTTTTGGTTCGAATAAATTGTGCCAATCATTTTCTTGAATTTAGATCCAAATCCCATATTTTCGACCTGTTGGATCAAGAACTGCCAGCTGAGATTGTTGAAGGCCTTCTGAGCATCCAAGAAAATCAACGCTGCCTGCTTTCCCGGGTGGGCCTCGTAGTATTCTAATACGTTTAATACTATCCTTATATTGTTCCTTATCTGTCTAGAAGCTAGAAAACCGTTCTGGTCAATATGAATAAGTTCATTTAATATAATTTTTAGTCTTTCCAACATTATTGTTGCAAATATTTTATAGTCTGCGTTCAGGAGTGAGATTGGTCTATAATTTTTAATCTGTTTGTGATCTAAATCTTCTTTAGGAATTAGTGAGATATTTGCTTCTCTCCATGAATTGGGGAATTTAGCAAAGTCTAATACCTCATTGTACACATCTAATATCACTGGTTCAAGACATTCATAAATACATTTATACAGTTCTGCTGGAAGACCATCCGGCCCTGGCGTCATTATCTTTCTGCCTTTCAACTGCCCTTTTCAATTCTATCACTGTTATTTCTTTATTTAATATCTCTTTCTGTTCCTCTCTAATTTCTGGGAGTCCTTTCCTTTTCAAATATTGTTCTATATTCTCAGGGTTTATTCCATCCACCCTATATAGTTGTTAAAAATATTTTTGTACTATTTTCTTTTTCTTAGTCATTCGATATTTTAATTTTCCATCCTCCTCCTCCAATTCTTGTATCAACATTCTTTCTCTTTCTAATCTTAATTTATGGGCTAACCACCTCCCTGGTTTATTTGCATGTTTGAAAAAATTCTGTTTTGCCCTTTTCACCTCTTTAACTCTCTCTTCCTGATTTCAATGTCTCTCCACTTCCATTTCACCTCCTTCTTCCTTCCAAGACTTTCTTTTCTTTCCTTTGTATCGCTCTCATGTCCCGATCGGATTTCACTTTCTCCTTCTCCACTCGCCACGTTGGTCTCGTAATCACCCTCCATCCAAGAAGCAGAGATAAGTCAATCGTCTCTCCCTTATCACCTTCTTTTCACCACCTCCTCCTCTGGCTTCCCTGGATTTTCTTCTTCTCCCACCAGTTCTCGTCTTATTTCAATCTCCACCTTTCAGCTTCCTAGAACTATTCACTTCCAACTTATACCCCCTCTCCTTCAGTCTCTTTCCGTTTGTAAAAAGTGCTGAATCACAGCTCTTTCTTACTGTCTTGCTGCCTGTACTATGGGGTTACACCCCCTCACCGGAGCTCTTTTTTCCTTGGAAACAAGTTCAAACTTACTTTTGGCAAATCAACACAGTTGCAACTTTGGGATTTTAACTTCAATGACACTTTCTGTTGATAATCTTCTCTCTTCTTCATCATTCATGGTTCAGCCATGGCCTCGGGTCTGCCATAATAAAATGACAGACACTTTCACTTCGGGTTTTCAGGGGTTTCCCTTCTTGCCAGCTGGAATTGCATTTCGCCTCACCATCTTCCAGGCTTCCCCTCTTCTCCGCTTGGCTCTCCAGGCTCCTCACGCCCCGAAAGGTCCCCAAAAGTGAAAAAACAGGATCCAGAGATGGAAAGCAGTCTCCCTTCACCCTTTCACCAAGGCATCACCGCTGGAAGCCATAAAATCCTTTGTTTTAATGAGAAGTAGTGTCAAAATATTTTAAATATGTTCATACTACAGTTAAAAAGAAAAGGTATTAAATAAAGACACTCTATGAATCAATTTAATCTATCTTTTTAAAGATTTATATCAATTTTATTGCTTCTTCCATATCTAGAAGATTTGTAATAAATTCCTAAAAGTGTCAATACATTATTTTTATTTTTCAGTAAATGTATTGACTGTAATACTTGCTGGCTGTCATATTTTTTATCTTAGTGGAACTGCAATGGGCATTCATATAGGTATTCTTCCTTATTTAAGACTGCACTTTCTTATCTAGCTTTTATTTTTTAAAAAATATCTAGTAACCAAATATATTATTTAAGATTAGCACGAAATTTTAACCACAAGGAAAATATGTTTTGGCTATCTTTGCTTTAATTAATTTGTTTGATTATTGTAGCTCTTGTTCTAATGTCTCTCATTTCTCTATTTTTCCATCCCAACATACTCCTTTTTTGTTCATCCATCACATTCCTGTATTGGCTTTATTTTGTGTCAGTTTCAACAACAAAAAGGTACTTTATAATTGAGTTCTGAGAATGTTCAGAATAATTCTACAGTCAAGGCATCCCTGGAGGGATCTCCTATTTCTCTGATGGGTTTTACAAGTAACTGTTGTGTGTTTTTTTCCTCATATAACTATGGCTCTTTCTTTTTGTTATTTTTTTCCAGATCTGTATGACTCAGATATATGAATAAGACTCCATGGAATTAAACTGGGCATTGCACAAAAAGCATATATCTAACCATGTTTTTGGTTCACAAGTTTATTCATTTTAGTTTGTTAGTCTTCTAAGGCATTATTGCATTATTTATTTTTATTTGTCAATTGCTTGCAAGATAATAGGTATAAGTAAAAACATAGTTATGAATACATGGATACATATAAGAAAAAAAAAGATACAATAGGACAGGGATGGTAGGCACGTTGGTGCACTTATGCACGCCCCCTATAGACCTCTTAGGAAAGGGGTGAGGTCAATAGTAGAAAGTCTAAGTTTAAAGTTTTTGGGGTTTGGGGAAAAAAACCACAGAGTCAGGTAGAGTATTCCAGACATTGACCACTCTGTTGCTGAAGTTGTATTTCCTGCAATCAAGTTTGGTGCGATTAACCTTGAGTTTGTATCTATTGTTTGCTCTAGTGTTGTTATGGTTGAAGCTGAAGTATTCATTGACAGGTAAGACATTGCAATGTATGATTTTATATACTATACTTAGATTGGACCAAAGGCGGCGTAGTTCTAGGTTTTCTAGGTCTAGAATTTCGAGTCTGGTGGCATAAGGTATTCTGCAATGAGTAGAGGAGTGGAGAACTCTTCTTGTGAAATATTTCTGGACTTTCTCAAGTGTGTTAATGTCAGATACATAATGTGGGGTTCCAGACTGATGAGCTGTATTCGAGTATTGGTCTAGCAAATGTTTTGTATGCTATAGTTATTAGTGTAATATTACCAGAGAAAAAGCTACGTAAGATTAGATTAACAACTCTTAATGCCTTTTTGGCTATGTAGTTACAGTGGGCTCTAGCACTTAGGTCATTTGAGATGAGTACTCCAAGATCCTTGACAGAGTTTGGATCATCAACAAGGTCTTGACTATTCAGCCTGTATTTTATTTTCTGATTATTATTTTTTGTCAATATGTAAGACAGAGCATTTATTTGTTGAGATTTGAAGTTGCCATTTGTTTGACCATTCTGATACATAGTCAAGGTCTTTTTGAAGGGTAGCAGTATTGTCTGTAGTATTGAATAGGTTTACATCATCAGTGAAGAGAACGCAGTTGCTCTTGATATGATCACAGAGGTCATTTATGTAGAATATGAAAAGAGTTGGTCCTAGAACACTGCCTTGGGGGACACCACTGTTGACAGGTACAGAATTTGATAGGACTCTCCCAATTTTGACCATTTGTTGTCTGTTTGACAGGAATGCTTCTATCCAGTAATGCAGGTGTCCAGAGATATCGTAAGATTTTAGTTTTAGGAGTAGTTTCTTGTGAATCAAAGGCTTTACAGAAGTCTATGTAGATTGCGTCTATTGCTTTGCCCTGACCGAGTTGTGTAGTCCATATGTTTTTGCAGTGTAAGAGTTGCAGATTACAGGATAGTTTTTTTCTGAAACCAAATTGTTTATTAGAGAGTAGGTTGTTTGTTTCTAAGTGGAGGATGATGGATTGGTTAATAATTGATTCCATGACTTTACAGGTGACGCAGCATAAAGAGATTGGTCTGTAATTTTCAACTAGGCTGGGGTCTCCCTTTTTGAAGATGGGGATGACCGTGGCTTGTGACCATAGTTTTGGCAAGGAGCTGGTCCTGAAAGATTTTTCCAAGATTATGCATAGAGGTTCGGCTATGGCAGTGGATAGCTTTTTTAAGAAGTAGGCACATATTCCGTCCAGTCCAATAGATAGAGGTGGTTTTAGATTGCATAGTGCTTTTTCAACAATGTCTTCTGTAAAATCGATATGTATTAGATCATTGTAGTTGTCTGTGGTTCGACTAGGAAATACTGGGCACGATCCATTGCTGTTTACAAATACTGAGCCAAAGAATGTGTTAAAGAGGTTGGCTTTAATAGTGTCGTCGTTGCAGTCTTTACCATTAGCTCCTTTCAGGGGTGGGATGGACCTTGAGTCTTTTAGTTTGTTGTTTATAAAATTGTAGAAAGCATGGGTGGAACTGGTGTGAAGAAGGTTTTCTCCTTGTTTAATGTGATAATTGGTGCATTCAGTTTTTATCTGGTGGCATAAATTTTTGTATTGGCTTTTGAAGTTGGCAATGTGACCAGATTTGTTTTTCCGCCAAAGTGATTTCTTTTTGGATTAAAGCTTCCTTATTGTTTTGGGTAATTTGTATTTTTCTGGTTTTGGGAGTTGTTAATGGTACATATAGTTTGATGACTCTTTTGACTTCAAGTAAAAATATGTTGTAATGGTCTTCGACAGTATTGCATCCAGAGAATAAAAATTGCCAATCAAGGGATGAGAGATCATTGTTTATAAGATCATAGTTGCCTTGTTTGAAGTTATAATTGGGGATTCTGTCATTGTGATGATTTTTTGTGGATGCATGTTGAGACAAAAGTCAATCATGTTGTGGTCACTGTTGGAAAAGGGTTCTTTAATTTGTATTCCATAAATTGAATTCAAACTATTGCAGAAGATGAGATCGAGGCAGTTGTTAAGTCTAGTGTTGTTGGTTACTAGTTGTTCTAGTCCCAGATTTGTTACTGCATTGTAGAAGGTTGTATGTATGGGTTCAGTTGTACATTCATTAAGGGTCCAGTTAATATGAGGTAGATTGAAGTCACCAAGAAAGACAAAAGCATGTGGGCAGGATGCTGCCCATGTTAGTAGTGTATTTAGCTTGTTTGCATGTTTGATGTCATAATCAGGGGCTCTGTGACATAGTAAGAACCGAAATGTGATATTTAAGGACAGTTCACAGACAATGGTCTCAGGAATAGCAAGCTCCTGGGTAGATGTAGGGACTTTTTATAGAAGATAGCAATACCACCTCCTCTATGGATTTCACGATCTGATCAGTAAACATGATAGTCTCTTACTGTGGTAATGGAGTCAGGGAGAGATGCATTGAGCCATGTTTCACAGACAAATATAATGTCGAATTTAGCCATATTTAGTAAGAGGAGAAATTCAGGTATTTTATTTACAAGGCTTCTTGCATTGAGTAGTTTGCATTTAAGGCCAGTTGTGGTTGGAATAGAGGTAGTTAGGGGCATGCATGCCGAGTTTTGAGTGATGTTAGATTGGATGGGGTGGGGTTGGATGCGGAGTTGTGAGTTGTGTGACTTTCTTTTAATGCAATCAGCTTGGTAGTCAATGTATAGATCCTTTTCTCCATTGTTTAGATGGTTTTTGAGTTCTGTGCGGATTTCACGGGAGTGGATTCTTTGCAGTATGGATAAGTCTGGTCTTGAGCGAAGTTTTTTGTGGTTGGGATTGGTTTTTGCAATGGCGTTTATTGTATGAATGAATATGTGTTTGCTGGACTCATTTTTGCATACAACTCTACAAAATCTTGGGGCCACAGAGCCGTCATTGTATTTGTACCCATGGCCATCTCTGGTTATTTCAATGGTATCTTCAGGAGAGATGCTTGTTGTATTTGAGTTGCTTATGATATCACAAACTTTGGTGATGTCGTCTGATTCGTTGGTGTCTTCGAGACCAAATAAGATGGCATTTGGACATTTCTGTTCACATTCCATGGTGTCTGTGATGAGTAAGGAGATATTATTTGTGGAATTATTTGAAGAGATAGTAATTGTTTGTGGCTGTGGTTTGGTGTTATTTTTGGTTGTAGTTTTGATTGTAGTTGAGGTAGTGGTTGTGGTTGTTGTGGGATTTGATTTTTAGCTGATAGGTACTCACTTATCTGTGCTGTATTTTTTTCCCCAAGAGAAATTAGGCTTGCTTTTATAGTTGTTTCAAAACGTGTTGCTAAATGTTCTTCTATTGAGTGAAAGAGTGATTCTATGCTTTCAACTCTGTCAGGTAGGCTACTCAGTTTGTTTAGTTTAGGAGAACATGATGGACATAGAAAAAAGAATGTATCTGAATTTTTAACCATATCAGCTACGTTTAAGCAGGCAGGGTGGGCTAGGTTATCACATAGGCAGCATTTGATGTAAATTTCGCTTTCATTGATGGTTTTAGGACATTTGAATCATGTGCAGGACTCTGGGAGATCATTGGTAGAGATATTTTTCTTTTGTTTTGGTTTGGAGTTTTTGGCTGGCATGGTCAATGACAATAGTACAGTAATCAATTCCAATAGCTAGTTAGTGTGGTAGGTAGACAGTTACTTAATGAATGTTGGTAATTAATAAATATTAATTGATATGTTAGAGAACAAATCAAAAGTAAGGTTGCTTATTACTAAAAATCAATTAATCAATCAATTGGTTATTCAAATCACTCTAATCAAATTTTGCTAAGCAACAAACAGCCTAATTTATTACAGTAATTACTAAACACACTGGTCAATTAAATTCACTAAATCACTGATTGTACTAATCAGATATTCAGTAATTACACTATATGCACTAAACATTCAATCATACTAAGCAAAAAACAATAAATCAATTTTTATCATTTGATAAAAATTAATTATTTTAAAGAAATTGATTTTTTTTAAAATAATGAAAGTAATGAAGTAGTATGAAGTAGTATTGAGAGTTGGTAAGTAAAGGGTTAATGCTTTGCTTTGTTTTGCTTAGCTGTTGCTGATATCTGAGAATAGGTTTATAACCCTTGATAAACTGGCAGGAGGTCTCTTTTCCTGGGCTGTTTGAAAACAATCAATGAGCAAGGGTTTACACTCTCTTTCTTGTTTTGTAGATTGAGTTTTTGAGATAGTAAAGATGCAAAGATGTTGAAGGGGGATCTCTGGCCCCTCAATGGGAGGCAACAGGAAACTTTTTGTTTTGTTCTCCCTTGATGAATGGGATTTCTGCCCCCCTCCTAGTTAATTTAAATACACTTTCAAAGTTTGTTGCTTTTAAGAGAAAGAGAAAGAAAGATAGTCTTGCACTGGCAATTTGAACAGTTTATATTTTTACTATGTAGACTCAGATTTGTATTGAGCATTCGCTCCTGGCTTCAATATACTTCTGCTTATATCACAGGAAATAAAATTGCTTCCAATCTTCACAGGAGTTTGGTTATAACAATACTTCCCTACTTATTGAAAGTCCAAAGTTACTGTCCTTTTAAAGAGAAAGTCCGGATTAGCAATTTGGTGAAAAGGGAAGGAGGGGCGGCAGGGGGAAAGCAGTCTGTTTCACATCCTGGCTGCAAATGTCTGAAGACCGACTCACAGCTCCCGGTGCTCACCGCCCTGCAAGGATGGGATGAATCTCACCATCTCACTGCTCTGCAAGGATGATCGTTGAGCCTCCCGGTACTGGCAAGCCCCACCGCCTTACCTTCTAGCAAGGATGGGTCGAGTCGCAGATCGTTGAGTGCTTTTGAATAGAGCGCTCCCAAACTTAGTGCCCACTGAGGAATGAGTTCTTTTCTGGAGTGCTGGTCAAGAATGAGAGGAATCGGAAATCTCCCAGTACTTTTGAATTGAGCATTTGCTGAAGAATGGAACTCTTTTCTGGCTTGCTGGCATGTCTTGGGCATGAGGCTTTCCACCTCGCTGGCTGGACCCGCAGGGATTAGAGGGTTTGTTGCCTGGCGCTGCCTGTGCCCGCTTTTATATATAATTAATTATAAAATTATAATTATAAAATTATATATAATTAATTTTATATATAATTAACATTATATAATAAAATTATATTTATGATATATTATGCTATTGAATTTATTCAATGAATGTCGTGATTTTTTTATAAAGGATCCTAGAAACTGCATTTTGATGCTGAGAATATTTATTAGGTTTCTTATATTGTTGGAAATGTGAATTCAGTGTCACTGAGTCTTCAGAACCTTTAGATGTAGTAACCACAAGGGGGCAGTAAGCATTAATAGAAAATTAAGACAAGGTAGAGAGAAAACAAGGTAAAACTTAATCCCCAGTGCCTCAGTTTATCTAAGAGATCGCTAATCTAAGGTCCCTTCCTTTATACCCAGGCAGATAACAACAAATTTATGATTGTTTCATTCTTCCAGGTAGGATGTACTTAGCTACTAGGCCTCCTCTATTTCTATAATGAATTTTCTACAGATAATTCCTTTCTGTCATAGTTATAAAAATGACTTCACTAGTGACTGATCAATGCTCAAGTCAAATTGTCTCTCTCAAAAGCTCTCACAGGGAACACTTCAACTTCAACTTCCAATAAGTGTTTCAGTTACTAATCATATAGATTTAATGGTGTTATAGAAAATCAGGGAGATGACCTTGAAGGAATTTGACAAAAATGACTATATACACAAAGGGAGCTGAAATATTCCTTAAATCCTGTAAACAAGATAATATTCAGAAGAGACTCAGGCAGGTTCCCCCCTGATTCACTGAGATATTAAAGAGCGGCAGTGGTGGGATTCAAATAATTTAACAACCCTAATAACTGGCTGGAAAGGTTTGGCTGTGTGGTCATGTGACTGGGTGGGCATGGCCAATTCAACATCACTCATGTTGAAGGGCTGCCACAAAGAAGGGAGAGGGTATCAATGTATTTTCCAAAGCAGCAGAAGGCAAAACAAGAAGCAATGGATGGAAACTGAACAAAGAGAAAAACAAACTAAAACTAAGGAGAAATTTCCTGACAGAGAACAGTTAACCAGGGTATTTCACCAATTTTATGTTCTCTGCAAATGTAATAAGCATTCCCTGTTTCTAATAGGGTTAAGCTGACAGGCAAAGGTTCCCAGGGCCAAGATACCATTTGTATAAACAATCCACAACTGCTCAGTTTCAAAACCATGAAGTGTCCAGCAAAGAGTCTGTTGAAAGGTAAAAGGAAGGAATGGGAATAGGTGTGACTCTATGAAGGAGGGAACTGAACACTTTGTCTGGTGGAGACGATCAAGTCATAATCAATGTTAAGATAAAAGAAAGGAAGGCTAAAGATTGGTCAAACCGG